TTCGGATGTTGGATGCTTTTGGTGTCTTCGGATTCGTCCGGGGTCTTCAGGATTCATTGTAACCCCACGACATTCGGCATGCATCCTGACGGTTGTACTTCGAGCTTCCTGAGGGTGTCTGAAGAGTTTCGAGGGCATGTATGGGATGTAGCGGAGTGACGTTTTACTTAGACTTTACTGAGGCCTCGCCGTCTTTGGGTGGCTGCGATCTGAGAACCTTTCGCCACTTTCGAGGGCTGCTGGGGGGTCCAGCGGAATGACGTCTTTCCCAGACCTACATGGGGGGGCTGCGATTTGCGAGGGTTGTCGTCCTCTTCGAGGGCTGCTGGGGGGTTCAGCGGAGTGAGGCCTTACCAAGCCTTGAACTAGACCTCGTCATCCGTGGAGGGGCTGCGATTTGCGAAACTGCAACAGCTGTCGAGGGCTGCTGGCGGGTGCAGCGGAGCGACGTCTTACGCATACTTTAAGTGGACTTCTCCATCCGTCGCCCTCCCTGGTTGATTCGCGACAGTCTTACCAGTCAATGGCGATTTGTTCGCTGTTCGGCTTTAGCGGTGAGCAAGTTGTTTATGAACCATCGAATGTGATTGGCGTAGCGTTGCTGGCGAATGGAGTCCCCAGGCTTTGGCGCTTCGCCGTCAGTTTATGTTTGCAGGTCTGGTCCAATGCGATTGGAATCTTGTACATATATATATGTGTATGTATGTATGTATGTATGTATGTATGTATGTATATATGTATATATCTATATTCCGCGCGCGTTCCCGAACCCGAACCCGAACCTGAACGTTGTACACCCTCTACACCCCCTTCGAAGCGAACAATAAACCCGCACAACTCTTGTGGTAGTACTGGTCGTCGTCGTCGTCGTCGTAGTAGTAGTCGTAGTAGTAGTCGTAGTAGTAGTAGTAGTAGTAGTAGTAGTAGTAGTAGTAGTAGTAGTAGTAGTAGTAGTAGTGGTAATCGTAGTAGTAGTAGTAGTAGTAGTAGTAGTAGTAGTAGCAGTAGTAGCAGTCGTTGTCGTAGTCGTAATACTAGTAGTAGTGGTAGTGCTAGTGCTAGTAGTGGTGGTAGCAGTAGTAGTAGTAGTCGTAGTCGTAGTAGTAGTCGTAGTAGTAGTAGTAGTAGTAGTAGTAGTAGTAGTAGTAGCAGTAGTAGTAGTAGTAGTAGCAGTAGTAGTAGTGGTAGCCGGAGACGTAGTAGTAGTAGTAGTAGTAGTAGTAGTAGTAGCAGCAGCAGTAGTAGTAGTCGTAGTTGTAGCCGTAGTCGTAGTCGTAGTCGTAGTCGTAGTCGTAGTAGTAGCCGCTGCAGCAGTTGCAGCAGCAGCAGCAGCAGCATCAGCAGCAGCAGCAGCAGCAGCAGCAGCAGCAGCAGTAGTAGTAGCAGCAGTAGAGTAGTAGTATAGTAGAGTAGTAGTAGTAGTAGTAGTAGTAGTAGTAGTAGTAGTAGTAGTAGTAGTAGTAGTAGTAGTAGTAGTTAGTAGTAGTAGTAGTAGTAGTTAGTAGTAGTAGTAGTAGTAGTAGTAGTAGTAGTAGTAGTAGTAGTAGTAGTAGTAGTAGTAGTAGTAGTAGTAGTAGTAGTAGTAGTAGTAGTAGTAGTAGTAGTAGTAGTAGTGGTAGTAGTAGTAGTAGTAGTAGTAGTAGTAGTTGCAGCAGCAGCAGCAGCAGCAGCAGCAGCAGCAGCAGCAGTAGTAGTAGTAGTAGAGTTAGTAGTAGTAGTAGTTAGTAGTAGTAGTAGTAGTAGTAGTAGTAGTAGTAGTAGTAGTAGTAGTAGTAGTAGTAGTAGTAGTAGTAGTAGTAGTAGTAGTAGTAGTAGTAGTAGTAGTAGTAGTAGTAGTAGTAGTGGTAGTAGTAGTAGTAGTAGTAGTAGTAGTAGTAGTCGTAGAAATTGTCGTTTCAGAAGGAAGCTTTCGCCCATTCGGCCACGCAAGGGGATAGCGACGGCGATATGGAGGATGTCGCAGGTATCGTGAGGCTTTCTAGGTGCCGATGAATTTGCAGCTGTCGTGGGCTATGGAGGAGGCGGATGGCGAGGATAATGAAGCTGAGGAGGGGAGGATGAAAGGGAGGGGGAGGTGAGAGCAAACATAGGTTGGGGAGGACCAGGAGCTGGAAGAGGAGGAGGAGGACGAGGACAAGGAGCAGGATGAGGATGAGGACGTGGACGGTTACGAAGCGGACGTGGACGAGGACGACACGGACGTGGACGAGGAGAACATGGAGGATGAGGCGTGCCTCCACTTTTCAGAGGGCTGCCGTGTGCCTCGGTCCGATCCATCTCGGTGGGGGGCCCCTTTGGGATCTGGCTTCGGGCTGCTCCCCAGACGCCAGGCCGCGGTCGGTTGGTCACCCTTGCGGTCGGGCCCGGGGGACGCCCAGGGAGCCAGGCGACCCTCAGACCTCCTGGTGCCGCGGTGAGGAACCATCGGGTGCCTGGCTTCGGCAACGTGGGCATCGGGCCTTGGCGCCCTCGGCGAGACGACCTGCGGCGACTGGTCCTGGTGGCCCACGTCGTGGGACAAACAAGCACGAGTTCGAATGTCTCGGGGACGTGCGTTCGCTTACTCTGACTGTTAAGCTCGGTTTGTCTGGCTCTGGTTGCCTGGCCTTTCGGGATGGCCCAGATCTTCATCCTAGGACCTCGTTCGCCTCCGTGTGCCTCCTCCTCCTCCTCCTCCTCCTTTTCTTCTTCCTATTCTCCTCCTCCTACTCCTCCTCCTATTCACAGAGTCCAGTTGCACCTATAACCTATCAGTCGCACCTATAACTTGCAGAGGCGCGTGCTTACCTCTCCACTCGTCCCTTCTCCCTCCTCGCCCTCGCCTCTCGGGTGCATTTCCGCCGAACACGCGAGAGCTGCAAGCGGTCAGGGGAGGATACCAAGTGGTTCACTGCGTATCCAGGCCCCGTCACGGTGTACTCAAAGAAGGCCGGGCGGCCGCCGTTCTTACCGCCTGATTGCAGACCTCCAGGCGTCGCGAACCGATTACACGACTGGTTTTGATCACCCTTGCGGCCCAACATCCAGGTACAGTGCCGCTTTTAATACATGCTCCGCGTGCGGATCATGGATTAAAAATGCAGGGATCGAGTATTGGAAACAACGATCAGTTCATGTATACATTTATTCATAAAGTAATCATGTATCAGACATCTTTTTTATATAAACAATCCTATGCATTAAAAGCTGCCCGGTACGTACCGTGTTCGTCCCTGGGAGGGGGGGCCTTCGCGAAGCGATCTTCGGCGTGGCGGGCACGAGGCAGGAGCCCCGCGAGCGGGGTCGGCAGCTCCAGGGCCCGCCCCTCCGACGAGTCGCGCCGACGGAGGTCTGGGATCGCCTCGCTGTTTGCTTGGCTGGCCTCTTCAGCGACCCCCTCGGAGCAGGAGGAGGAGGAGGAGGAGGAGGAGGAGGAGGAGGAGGAGGAGGAGGAGGAGGAGGAGGAGGACGGAGGAGGAGGAGGAGGAGGAGGAGGAGGAGGAGGAGGAGGAGGAGGAGGAGGACCAGCGCATCTGACTGAGTTCTGTCTGTCTTGCTTACTGTACTTCCCCGAGCGCTTCCCGCGCTTCCTTGATGAGCATATCAAGGGTGATGGGGGGGCTGAAACAAGCCCTGCTACGCATGCCTCCCTTGGGGTGGCGGCAGGTCTTGAAACAGTTCAGGGCTGCGACCTTATTATTTCTGGGGGGGCTCCCAAGGCATTCGCTCTTAAACGCCCTGGGGAAGAATTCGCTGTAAGCGCCACAAGCCCAGCAGGCCAAAACGCAGCTGTCATTCTCGAGACGGTCGAACACATATAAGTCATGCCCGTGCCTTTGCTCAGCAAGGGCCGACAGGCTCGCACAGTGCCCAGGGCAGGTTTGGGCATCTCTTCTTACACGTGCGGCCTCTGAGCGTGCTCGGACTCGGCAGAGTTCGCACATCCAGAGGCCCTCATCTACTAGCACCCACTGATGGGCGCCTCCCTTTTCGCGGTCGCCCTCGCGAGGGTCGCCGCCATCGGCCCCAGGGACCTCAGGAGGGTCGGAGGTCGGAGGCAGGAGGGGTGCAAGCAGGGAGGCGCCGACCAGGGGGGCCCTTTCGGGCTTGAAACTCGGCCCTTCGCAGGCCTTGCTGCCAGGTTTTGGGGCGATCGCGGGCCAGGTGGGCAGGCCTTTAGCGAGGAACCGTACAAAACCGAAGCAGGAAACCTTGGCTCGCGTCAAAATCTTGGGTCTCCGCGGCCGAGGGCCCTCCAGCTTTACTGGCAGCAGCTTTAGCAAGTCTATCGGCTGTATCATTTCCCACGGCCAGGTATTTCTCCCTGGATCCGTTAGGTAAGGTTTCTAACTCCTGATGGGCTCTTACTTTACATATCCTAGGAAGGGTCCCCCCGCTGTATTTACCCTTTGCGAGCAGCTCTAACCCTGCATAACTATTCTTCCTATCGAAACCCGCCTGGCCATACTTGGTTATGGCCCCTAGGTGGTCCGAGTGAATGCAGGTGACACGGGGACACATATGGGCGACTGCCATAGCTACGTGTTCGGCTGCTGGCGAGGTTGCTGGCAGCAGCTCTCCCGTCTGTCCCGAGAGGTGCGCCTTGCATTCGCCGTCCTCGTCTAGCACAGCAACAGCCCATCCAGTCTGGTGCCAGATCGGGGATCCCTGTTTGAAACAACTTCCGTCAACAAAAACTTCCCCAGCCATCGCGACCTCGAGCGGATCACCGTTTCGGGACCAGAATTCCCAGGCAAAGCCGAATCCCTCGGGGCGGTTTATGCAGGCTGGGGGCAAAAACTGGAAACCGTGGGCGAGGGGAGCTGCTCTGGGGTACCCTTCCATATACGATTCATCGGGGGGGTCAGAATCTCACTCCTCAGGTTGAAGACCAGGGGGCACTCGAACCTATGCGTCATGTCGTCTCTCTCGTACCCGGAAGGGCACGTCGTGTCAATGTCATATCCTGCTGCAGCAAGTCTAGTTCGGGTCCACAAACCTTGGGCGAGGTAGGACATCAAGCAGCGCTATTCGGAGTTGGGGAGGGAGGGATCGGCCGGGCAGTCGGCCGGAGGAGGAGGAGGAGGAGGAGGTGGAGGAGGAGGAGGAGGAAGAGGAGGAGAAGGAGGAGGACGAGAGAGGAGGAAAAGGAGGAGGAGGAGGAGGAGGAGGAGGAGGAGGGAGGAGGGAGGGGGAGGAGGGAGGAGGAGGAGGGAGGAGGGAGGAGGGAGGAGGAGGAGGGAGGAGGAGGAGGGAGGAGGGAGGAGGAGGAGGGAGGAGAGGAGGAGGGAGGAGGGAGGCGGAGGAGGAGAGGAGGAGGAGGAGGAGGAGGAGGAGGAGGAGGACGGAGCACGGAGCACGGAGCACGGAGCACGGAGCACGGAGCACAGAGCACGGAGCACGGAGCACGGAGCACGGAGCAGGAGGAGGAGGAGAGGAGGAGGAGGAGGAGGAGGAGGAGGAGGAGGAGGAGGAGCAGCAGGAGCATGAGCAGGAGCAGGAGCAGGAGCAAGGAGGAGGAGGAGGAGGAGGAGGAGGAGGAGGAGGAGAGGAGGAGGAGGAGGAGGAGGAGGAGGAGGAGGAGGGGAGGAGGAGGAGGAGGAGGAGGAGGAGGAGGAGGAGGAGGAGGAGGGGAGGAGGAGGAGGAGGAGGAGGAGGACGGAGGAGGAGCAGGAGCAGGAGCAGGAGGAGGAGGAGCAGGAGGAGGAGGAGGAGGAGGAGGAGCAGGAGGAGGGGCCCTTCTCGGTCTCCAGCGTCCGCGGGTTCGGCATGCTGGGGGCGGACCGGGACGTCTGCCCCGTGCTGCCTCTTCCAGCGAAGTACCGGGGCCACTCGCAGGCCTGATCCAGAAGTTGCCTACGTCTAGGAGCGAAAGAAGGACGTACACGTACATATATTCTAGACGCTTCGCGTAACCCCACCAGCCCATCCAGAAACGATGCCCAGAGGAATTGCCTCGATCAGGGAAGTGGGCAGCACACAGAGGAAGGGTCCCCCAGTAGAGGCCTTTTGGAGCGTCTTGTGGGCCTCTTGGCGGTCCTGGACGCCTCTTAGAGCGTCTTGGGTGCCTCGGAGAGCTTGGGGCCTGCGTGATTTGCTCTGTCGGGGGTCTATCTGTCTGGTGGACGAGGGGGCACACATAGATGAGCGATCCCTGCATGATTTTCTGAAATCAAGGTCCCGAGGCGCCAGTGGGCGAGCGCTGATCGACGAAGCTGCTAAGAGGGACGACAAGGAGCAAGCAGTAGACGAGGACGAGGAGGAGTCGCCGTTGGCCTCCAAGACGCGCCCAGGACACCGCTCAAGACGGAGAGAGGAAGAAGAGGACCTATGAGGAGGGGCGGCGAAGAAGGAGAGCAAGAGCAGAGGGAAGAAGGAGAGAGCGAAGAAGGAGGAGGAGGAGGACGAGGAACCCCCCGCGGCCCCAAAGGGAGGCCGGGCCCGAGCGGCAGATGCTAGTCGGGCGGCGCTGGCGCCTCCAGCAGGAGGCTGGGGCGCCCGCGTTTCTCGTGGAGGAGGCCGCGGCGGGTTCCGTATGGTTTGGATCCATGCAGAATCCGCAGGAGTGGGGCCCGCTGTCATAAGGAGCTCCCCGAAGAGTCTCCCCCGTTCCTCTTTCCCCCTTCCCTTTCCGAATTCTGCATCTGCGCGCAGCCCTTTTGGGCTTAGGGGCGACAGTCCGTGTCGCCGAGGATCTCATACCCTGCGTTGATAAGCGCGTTTCTCTCATCTTCTCGTCCGTTTGTCCCTCGATTGGCCCGTGGACCCGTGGCACCGCCCTCCCAACGCATAAGTAACACCCGAGCCTCAGCATGTTCTGCGGTCGTGTTTTGATGGGCTGCTACTGGGAACCCAAACCGAGCCCATGTGCGCGACGCTGGGGCGAGATGCGCCACGCACGCGCCCGCAGGTGGGCACCAGGCAGAAGCCTGGGATAACCAGCCAGCTCGCGAGGCGCCCACGAGGCGCCCGCGCGCGGACGCTGCGCAAAAACCAGGGGAGCCCATCAAGCGCACGAGGCGCCCACGAGGCGCCCACGGGTGGGCACGGGGGAGACCTTGGGAATCCCACCCAATTAATTACCTGGGGGCACAAGTGATAATCCCAAGCGCAAGCTCTGGTCTGGAATAACGCGGCTGGGCTAGGGTGGGGGACGTCGTGAAGCCTTGGAGGGATGCTTTGACGCTCGCAGCACGCATCCCATGCATCCCATGCATCTGAATTTGAGGGCCGTCAACCCATGCCATTTTCGTGGGTTTGCCTCTGTGGCCCCCCTCGGTTCGGAAGACTACCTCCATCAGTTAGTCATATCTCCAAAAGGTGGTGAGAGACTGTACTCATGCACCATATGTCTGCCAGCCCGCCAGGAGATGGCATTGAGCAATCTGGGAGAGTGGGAGGGCGGGAAGGAGGGAAGGAGGGAGGGTCGGAGGGAGTGCCTGCGTCGACCCCGGTGTGGGCGCTTAAAGGTCGTCGTTATTTTTTCCTTTCAGCAGGCCTGTCAGGACGAGCCGAGTGCCCACGCCAGCGGGTCCACAGGCAAGGTCTCGGCACACCGGGCTGGGCACGGCAGAGGCCCCGACGCGTTCGGGCCCCAGAACCTCTGGCCCTGATCGTTGATTTCGATGTGAACCGCATCTGCCGGGCCCCTCCTCGTCCCGCTAATCCTCTGCCTCCTGCTTCCTCTGCTGTTGGGTCGGCCCTAGGGAGCTGATTGTGGTCACACAGAGGGTATATGTACCCATGGGCGTCTGATCTGATCCTTCTTCCTTTCTCCCTCTCCTCCCTCCTCCTCTCTCCTCCCTCCTCCTCTCTCCTCCTCGCTTCCTCCGCCCCTCCTCTCTTTGTGGTCCAGAGGCCCTGTCTTCCCCGTCCTCCCCTCCCCAGCGCCCTTCCCCCCCCCCTCGCGCGCAGCACGAGTGCACGGGGGCGCTGCGCGCGGCGGTGGCCGGCTCCCTCAGCTCCAGGGGCCGCGTGGTGGAGCTGCCGAACCTCGGCCGGGAGGAGTTGTGTGTGTGGGGGGGGGGGCGCTCGGGCCAGGACTGACGAAGCCTAACGGGGCAGTAGGGGGAGGAGGATGAGAAGGAGAAGGAGGAGGAGGAGGAGGAGGAGGAGGAGGAGGAGGAGGAGGAGGAGGAGGAGGAGGAGGAGGAGGAGGAGGAGGAGGAGGAGCAGGAGGAGGAGGGTGGGAGGAGGGGGAGGAGGAGGAGGAGGAGGAGGAGAAGGAGGAGGAGGAGGAGGAGAAGGAGGAGGATAAGGAATAGGAGCAGGAGCAAGAGCAGGAGGAGGCGGAGCAGGAGGGTGCAGAGGAGCAGGAGGAGGAGGAGGAGGAGGAGGAGGAGGAGGGAGGAGGAGGAGGAGGAAGCAGGAGGAGCAGGAGGATGGAAGGAGGAGGAGGAGGAGGAGGAGGAGGAGGAGGAGGAGGAGGAGGAGGAGGAGGAGGAGGAGGAGGAATTGGATCAAGGCCCTCACGCGCGACACCCGTCGTCTTCACTTTTGAGGAGCTCTCATCAGGCTCATGTGTGCCCCCTTGAGCCGTCTTGGGGCCTTCTTAGGCAGTCTTGGGGCTCCCTTGGGCCGTCTTCGGGCTGTCTTGGCCGCATCGTGGGTGTCTTGGGGCCGTCATTGGGCCGCCTTGACGGCCTCTTGGGCCATGAGTCCTCTTGGGTCGTCCTGGGGCACTCTTTTGGGCCCCTCGGGCCGTCGTGGGGCCATCTCGGAGGCTTCCTGGGACGTCTTGAGCTAACGGACGCCAGAACAGACGCGCAGTGCGATAACCAACACCACAAGCCAAAGAGATACCACTGCGCTGGGTCTCTCTGGGCCTTGTTGGGGGTCCCTCTTGGGCCCTCTCGGGGACATCTGGGACCGTATTGAGGTCGTCTTTGGGCGCCTTGGGGCCGCCTTGAAGGCATGGGGTGCTCGCCTGGGCCGTCGTGGAAGCTCGGGGGCGCATGTACACTGCGTTGTGTAAGGGGTCGTGGCCTCGGGAACGCGGACCCACCGTTTGTAGTTTCGAGGGATCGCGGCCTCGGGAGCGGAGGGGGGGGGCGGGGATGCACGCGCTTGTCCGCGACGGGGGGGGATGGGCCCTCCAGAAGAGTGCAGGAGCTCTGCCAGGCAGCCCTGGGCATATTCTGCCGCGCCTCAGCGTGTCAGGGGGCACGGAGGCGGCTGCCCCGCATCACTCCTGGAGAAGCGAGGGGAGGAGGGGGGGAGCTTTTCAGTGCCAAGCTCGGCTCGGAGATTTATAGGAGATTTATAGACCTCCTACCCTGACACGTCGATTGGTGAATTTGCCAGTTTTGGTTCGCGAGAGGGCGTCGCGGCCGTCATTGTTGCGGGTCCGTGCCCGTCGATTTTGGTCCCAGGCCGTTTTTACTAAAGGGTGGTTTATTAAAGGGAGGTTTGTCCACCGCCGATCGGCTTGACTCTGCCCTTACGCCAGGGGGCGGAAGATGGCTGAGATGCCAGTCCGGGTGTCAAGAAAGCAGCACAGGCCAGCCATCTGGTGCGGTATAGAAGGCGGTTGGCCCACCTCATTACTAGCCTTGCGAAGGACCCAACCATGAGCAGTTGTACATACCGTCGTTGCATGCACCGCATTCGGTGGGGCTCCCTATGGAGCCACGGAGCGAGTGAGGGGTGTGCCAAAATGAGTGCGGCGGGCGCATGCGAACGCTGGCATTTGGGCCTTGGCCACGAAACGTGTGAGGGGTGTACCAACATGGGTGCGGCGGGCGCATGCGAACGCTGGCATTTGGGCCTTCGGTGGGGCTCTCTATGGAGCCACGGAGCGTGAGGGGTATGCCAAAATGGGTGCGGCGGGCGCTTGCGAACGCTGGCATTAATCTGGGCCTTCGTGGGGCTCCCTGTGGAGCCACGAAGCGTGTGAGTGGTGTGCCAAAATGGATGCGGCGGGCGCATGCGAACGCTGGCATTTGGGCCTTCGATGGGGCTCCCTACGGAGCCACCAAACGTGTGAGGGGTGTGCCCAAATGGGTGCGGCGGGCGCATGTGAACGCTGGCATTTGGGCCTTCGGTAGGGCTCCCTGTGGAGCCACGAAGCGTGTGGATGGTGTGCCAAAATGGGTGCGGCGGGCGCGTGCGAAACGCTGCGAACGCTGGCATTTGGGCCTTCGGTGGGGTTCCCTGTGGAGCGACGAAGCGAGTCAGGGGTGTGCCAAAATGGGTGCGGCGGGCGCATGCGAACGCTGGCATTTGGGCCTTCGGTATGGCTCCCTGTGGAGCCACCAAACGTGTGAGGGGTGTGCCCAAATGGGTGCGGCGGGCGCATGCGAACGCTGGCATTTGGGCCTTCGGTGGGGCTCCCTATGGAGCCACGAAGCGTGTGAGTGGTGTGCCAAAATGGGTGCGGCGGGCGCATGCGAACTTCGGCATTTGGGCCTTCGATGGGGCTCCCTATGGAGCCACGATGCGTGCGATGGGCGTGCCAAAATGGGTGCGGCGGGCGCGTGCGAACGCTGGCATTTGGGCCTTCAGTGGGGCTCCCTATGGAGCGACGAAGCGTGTGAGGGGTGTGCCAAAATAGGTGTGGCGGGCACATGCGAACGCTGGCATTTGGGCCTTCGGTGGGGCTCCCTATGGAGGCACGACGCGTGTGATGGCGTGCCAAAATGGGTGCGGCGGGCGCATGCGAACGCTGGCATTTGGGCCTTCGGTGGGGCCCCCGACGAGGCCACGAAGCGTCTGAGGGGTGTGTCAAGGTGATGGGGTGTGAAAGGAGGAGGGAGAGGGATGAGGAGGGAGGGGGAGGAGGAGAGGAGTGATGCGGGGCGCTTTTTCTTCAAAGCGAAGACCCGGCACCACAGGATGGTTGCGAATTATTGCGAGTGTTGTTTTTATCAATGTTAGTCTTTGTATGGGTATCATGATTATTGCGATGGTTATGAATAGTAATTCGTAGTATCATCATGATTACTATGCTCAGCATACATTTTTTTGTACCTTCGGATGTTGATGATGCAGCTGATGTTGACGATGCTACTGATTATTCTCATTACTGTTATTTCAATCCGTATTATTGTTATTGCTATTCTCACTATCATCACTATTGTTCGTATTTTTCGTACTCGTTCGTATTATTACCACTATTCGTATTACCGATCGTATTCTTATTATTCGTATTATTACTGTCATCCGTATCATTATTATTAGTATTGAGATCAGTTGATTGTAATCCTTATTCTTATTGTTATCATTATTGTTATTATCCATATTGCAATCTTTATTTGTAATTATTATTACTACTTATACTCAAGCCTCATGGTGAATAGGTGGATCTGTGTTCTGGTCATTTCTCTGGGGCTTCCGTTGCAGTGTACGTCGCATCCCACAGTTGCGGATCAGAATGCGGAAGCGGCCGGGACGTCGGCAGCCTGCGAGGCTCTGAAGAAGCCCACCGCGGGCGCTTTGCAGGCGCAAAGCGCCCGATCTTCTCGTCAAAGCAATGTGGCTGAGTCGTGGGTGGGTCGCGGTAGGGTCGCGGGGTGAGTCGCGGTTGGGTGGCAGGGTGGGTCGCGGGGTGGGTTGCGGGTGGGTCGCGGGTGGGTCGCGGGCGGGGACGACTACAACAGCGGCAACAACGAACCACAGCGAGCAGGTTACGGGCCGCGGATCCCCGGTTCAGCCACCCACCCAGGGACGGTGCAAGACCGTTCGGTCCCCTCACTCTGATCTTTTTTCTCGCCTTGCAGCTTGATCGAACATCTGGGGATGACGCATCCGATCGTACAGGGGAGGGTGGCAGGGCCAGTCGTACGTTCGACACATGCTGCTCAATTGGGACAACCTGACGCTGTACACGGCCTTCGCTCAAGGCGCAGGCAGGCACAACAACATCAAGTCCCTGGATGCAACCCTGAGATTCTTGAAGAGCCAGGAGGTACCTGGCGCACCGCAGCCTTTGATCTGAAGGGCTGCCGCTACTCCGCAGGCGTACTGGGGTTCACGGTCAGGAACTTACTTTTTGGTTTAGCTTGTTGCGCCACTGGTTCTGGCCCACCACGCCTCGGCGCGACCGGTCTCCAGTCGTCAACGTCCCGAGTCTTTCCCGACCTCCCGCCCTGGATAGCGCAGCGACACGCTTTCCGTTTGCAGGATATACAGTCGAACTGCATAGTAAATATGGGCAACCTTTTCAAGGCTGGCCTTGCATCCTTGCCCCTTCGGCCCATCCTGAGCGACTTTGGCTGGCCAGCCTCGCTCGAGAAACGTTCGCGTGGGCCCCTCCTAGGCCCTTGCATCCTTACCTCGCATCCTTCTCATACGGGTTGACTGTAGTGTGTCGCCGGGGCCGCAACGCCGGCACGCTGAGCAAGAGTTTCCGACCGTACGCGCGCTGCTGTCCGCTGGATGTCGTAGCTACCGTTTTGCTGTGTGCGACGGAGCCCCGCTGCCGGGCCAGCTGGATCGTGCCCATGGTGGCCCGCAGTGCCGATGGTTGGAAGCTGTACAGGGACAAGGACGCTGGGGCATCCGAAGTGCACGGGCTGTCGTGTTGCCCGTAGCCCGTTCATGCTTTACCACCTGGGCCGACAGATCGTTATTCTCCGGGCAAGTGGTCGACCGGTTTCGTTCGTTCCGCTGGCCCCATCTGAGGCAGATCGGTGGGCCCGTCCCGGCGCAGGTGATGCGGAGGTAGCTGTTGACATGGGGTCATGTTGCGTGTGCGTCTTGCCAGTCCTGTTCAGTTACGTTCGAGTCAGAGTCCTAACTTATGCACGTCGTGTGGTTGATCTGGCAGTTTACTGGCAGTGACATGAGCTCGTAATGCGCAGTCTGCATGCTTCGCGTTTCAGGGAAGTCGGATTTCGGAGGCACTGCAGATGACCGTAAACAAGCAGTGAGGCGATGAGGACATGAGGAGCAGGATTACGGGGAATCGAAGGAGGGGGCCATAGACTTTGGAGATCCATTTGAATGTATCTGCTATCATACGGGGCGTTCCAGAAAGGGCCTTGCCTTCGAGGATCGAAGGAGTTGTCATCCCTTCTGCGGCGGAAGGCGGCGGAAGGGTGGCAGAAGGTCGGGGGAAGTAAAACGAGGCCGCCTCCGCCGGCGGAAGCCGGCGGAAGGCGGGTGGAAGGCGGCGGAAGCAAAAGATGCGCCCCAGGAGATGAGAACGTTTTTGGGCTCAGGGCTTTTGGAATTCTCAATGTATCTGTATGACGACTAGGTCCTCATACCATCTGCGGTTGTGGCAGGCTCCACCATCTGCGGTTTTCAGACCAGGAGCCTCTGGGGCCAGTGCGGCACGGGGCAGCCAGGGCTGCCCTGGGCCGCCGCAGTGGGGCGGCCCAGGGGCTCGTCACCGGCTGAGTCTGTGCCCTGCGCGTGGAGTTTCTGGCTCTCACGGCAGGTGTGGCCTCGTTGTCTCCTTTGACCCATGCCTTCGAGTTTTTATTCCACGCCGTCGTCGTCGTCCTTCGCCTCGGTCTCCTCCTCTGCCTCCTTCCTTCCCTCGGAGGTGTGGCGTGGTTGCGGTGCGCCGCTGGAGGGAGGGTGGGGCCGGTGAGGATATGGGCGTCACTCGCTTCGATGATTTGTGCCCAGCGTGTAGCCCTGCGCGCACGCAAGCCTCTTGGGGCGCCATCTGTCTAAAGATGCCAGCCTTGACCAGGGAAATCCTTGGCCTTTGATGGGCCTGGCCAGGGCGGATGTGTGTGTGAGAGTTAATTAAAGCTGTGCGCGTCCCGCTTAGCTTTCAGCGGAAGAGGTTCGCTCTCGCTCCGCAGATACAAAAATCGTGTGTGAGAGCGGGAAGTTCGCGCCGCTCGATCTCATTGTGTGTGGCGCCACCTAGCTTCTCTGGAGATTCCGCCTTCCGACCCTGCAGTTTTGACAACCGCATGTCTCCTGTTTTTCCCGCACGCCGCGGCCAGCAGGGCGTACGCGAAATTGCCCAGGGCCTGCTCAGATCTCCGACCTTCTGCCAGGCTTCAAGATGGGTGCGTCTGAGGCCTACGGTAGGTTCATGCGGCGTTGGCGCGCCGTCGACGCCTGCGAAGGCGTTCAAGGTTGAATTCTGCGACGCGGAAGCACCGAGGGACACGGTGACGCCATTGGATCCGACGGATTTCCGACTTGAACGATCGGAGCCGCGATCGATTCAAGGTTGAACGATCGACGCGGTGTCAAAACTTTTGCGCGCGCCGACGCCGCACGAACTTGCCGTGTGTTGTTAGCATTCTCGAGGTACCGATGAGCACCCCAGGAGTTCAGGGGTGTCCTACTGGTCGATGACCTTCGTTTGGCCGTCGGGTCCCCCTGGCCCCCCCTCGTCGCAATCGGTCGGCTCTCGCTCCGCTCGCAGCCCTGACCAAGTTCGTGGCAGCCGCATCCTGCCGATCTCGGGGGGGGGTACACACATCCGAAATCTTAAGAAAAAGCGTGAACTTTCGTGAGCTCCAGATTTCGTTCAAGAGAATCAAGAATCTGGACTGGACCCTGGGCATTCTCTTAGGGGCCTCTTTTCTTCGTAGAACGTTTGCGTATGTGGAACTTGGACGACTGCCCGCGAAAACGCTTGGAGTGAAGCCGATTTCTTTGGCGTCGAGTTTTCCTGACCCGGGGCCGATCTCAAGGGGGGTGGGCGGTAGGGTTAAGTCGGGCATGCCCCTCCTCTACAGGAGGAATGCCCCCAAAAAGTCAGAACATTGTATGAGGACGGTTTCTTCGATTCTTGTTTGTTTGACCACTTTTGAACATTTTTTGACTATTTCTATTCTTCCTCCAAGATCTGCCTGCAGGGGGACATGCCCGACCTAAGGGTAGGGCGCCGGTCAGGCCCGTGCCCATCGCGGAGAGAAGGGAAATGTGGCGGCGCGCCTCCCGCGGCCAGCTAGCCTGCCGCCAGGACGAGCCCCCGCACGAGGTGGTGGCGGGGCCCGGAGCAGCACCAGGACCCGCTGGAGGGTAAGAAGTAAGAAGTTGCAATGCCTGGCTCAAGACGTGGACGATATGCAGTGGCCTCCGGCCAGTGCCGCCGATCCGGGGCGCTCCTGATGCGTGTGGGAATGGACGACGACAACGGACGACCAACCGTCGACGAGCGCGATAATTACTACGACGGCCGACGAACGGGTTCACGACGACGATTGACGACGGCGACGACGATTATGACGACGACGCCTGGCTGCAGACGTGGACGATGCTCTGCTGCAGTGCGCGGCCCACTGCTCGGCTGTGATGGGATGTGGCCTCGGACGCCACGCGCTCTCCGCGCTCCGGGCTCCCTGCGCGCGGGCGCACGACGCCGACGCCGCCGCCGACGACGCCGCCGACGACGACGACGACGACGACGCCGACGACGGACGACGACGACGACGACGACGACGACGACGACAACGACGACGACGACGACGACGACGACGACGACGGGCAACGACGACGATGATGACGACGGCGATGACGATGACGACGACGACGAACCACCCCAGTGGGCCATGGTTTCTCAGCCTTACCGGCCCACCCTGCTAGGTGCGGGGAGGGGCCCCGCGACACCCGCAGGGAACAGGCATAGTATCTGATCCCGAGTCGAGGGTTCACAGGTCCCCCCCGAGTTGGGATGGGTCCCAGGGCTCCACAGGCGCCCCCCCGCAGATGGGATGCACGCCGACGCCGCCGCCGAGGCCAACGCCGATGCTGACGCCGACGGACAGCGACGACAACGACGCCGACGACGATGACAATGACGACGACGACGCCGACGGACGACGACGACGACGATGACGACGACGATGACAATGACGATGACGACGACGAGCCACCCCACACCCACAGGGGGAAGGGGCGGTGGGTGCACCGGCACCCTCCACCACGCCCACAGTGCCGCGACCACAGCCGGGGGGGGGGGGTGAGCGGTCCCCTTCTTCGCCAGGCCTTGGCGAGGCCCACGGGCGTGGGGGGAGGCGGGGGGGGGGGGTTGCCACCCTGGGTCGTCGGCCTCGGCCAGCGGGGCCGAGCTCTCACGCCAGGGGGGAAAGGGAGGGGGATCGTAAAACCACGCGAGGGTCGGGACAAAATCGGATCGGGATGACTCGAAATCTTTGAGAATCGGCGGGTTTGGAGGATGTATTGGGCGCCGCGGCCGCTCCAGAGCGTTCCGGAACGCTCTGAGAGCGCTCCGGAACGCTCTGGAGCGATTTCTCCCGATCCTAGCCATGTTTTAGGTCGGTTCAGCGATGCCTATCGAGGGAGACCCCGTCGGGATCTCCCAGCGTGCTCGCGCGGGAGATCCCGTCGGGCTCTCCTGCGCGAGCGCGGTGGGCTCGTGCGGTTCCGACGCGGCGGCGGCGCGGGCGGTGGCGTTCAGGCCTGCAGTCCCCCAGCAGCCTCCAGGGGGGGCATTTCCTTGGGGATCTCCAGCAGATGATGTCTTGTAATAGGGGAACAACAAGTGACATAAACATACAAACTCGGAGGTCCGCGCGGATTTCTCGGATCGGCGCTGGGGCCCCCCGGCGGCGCCTCCGGCGCCGCCCCCGGCGCGCTCCGCGCGCCAGGGAGGGGGGTCCAGCGCCGATCCGAGAACTCCGCGCGGACCTCCGAGTTTTCATGTTCATGCCACTTTTTGTTCCCCTGTTTGAGGAAGCGGTTCACGCGATAGTGGGGACCAGATCCCACGCCGTCACGGCAGGAACCCGGCGCGCTCGAGCACAGCTCTCCCTAGGTCCAGGCTCCCCACGGCTCGACTCTTTTTGCGAGCCGCTGGCCCCTGGGGCTCTCGACCCCTTCCCGGGGCAGCTGCTTGGACGGTGCCAGGGCCCAGAGAGAAGGCACCCGAAGGCCCATCGGCACCATGCAATCATCAGAGTGAGGGGGCCGAATGATCATTCACTGTCCCTGGGCGCGTCGCTGAAGTGGGCTTCAACGGTGCGGATTGTTGAGCTCTCACTGCTGAAGAATAGTTATTGTCGATCCCCCCCCTCCAGTGCACATGGTATTTTTTTAAACTGATGTGCCCTTCCCGGCGCTCGCACCCGGTTTTTTATCAGGGGCTGTCTTCCTCCTCAAACTGCGTTGTTGGCCCCCGGGTTACAGCAACAACGGCTCCCGCCTGAGACTTCCTCACAATTTAGCCAGGGCCCCCGCTCCGGCCCGAGACTTCCTTGCATTTTATTCAGGAATCGGGCTCTCGCTTGGGACTTCCTTACAATTTGATCAGGGATCGCACTCTCGGCGCTCTGGAGTCGCGCTCTCGCTGGAGACTTGCTTGCAATTTACTCAAGAATAGCGCCCTTGCATTGGAATTTCCCGCAATTTGCCCAAGCGCCGCGCTCCCGACACTCAGGCACCAAGAGTCGCGCTCACGCTTAGGACTCCCCCACATATTATTTAGGAATCGGAATCTCGCTGCCCTTCGTGACCTCCTCGCTGCCCTTCGTGGCCTCCTCGCTGCCCTTCGTGGACTCGTTGCAGCCCTTCGTCGCCTCCTCGCTGCCCTTCGTGGACCCGTTGCAGCCCTTCATGGCCCCTTCGCTGCCCTTCGTGGCCCCGTTGCAGCCCCTCGTGGCCCCCTGGCCTTGTTTCGTGGCCCCGTTGCAGCCCTTCGTGGCCCCCTCGCTGCCCTTCGTGGCCCCGTTGCTGCCCTTTGTGGTCTCCTCGCTGCCCTTCGTGGACCCGTTGCAGCCCTTCGTGGCCCCCTCGCTGCCCCTCGTGGACCCGTTGCAGCTCTTCTTGGCCCCCTCGCTGCCCTTTGTGTCCCCGTTGCAGCCCTTCGTGGCCCCTTCGCTGCCCTTCGTGGCCCCGTTGCAGCCCTTCGTGGCCTCCTCGCTGCCCTTCGTGGCCCCGTTGCAGCCCCTCGCGGCCCCCTCGCTGCCCTTCGTGGCCCCGTTGCAGCCCTTCGTGGCCCCCTCGCTGCCCTTCGTGGATCCGTTGCAGTCCGTCGTGGCCCTCTCGCTGCCCTTCGTGGCCCCGTTGCAGCCCTCCGTTGCCCCCTTGCTACCCTTCGTGGCCCCGTTGCAGCCCCTCGCGGCCCCCTCGCTGCCCTTCGTGGCCCCGTTGCAGCCCTTCGTGGCCTCCTCGCAGCCCTTCGTGGCCCCCTCGCTGCCCTTCGCGGCCCCATATATGTATGCCCGTCGTGGCCCCCGCTCGTTCGCGCCCGTCGTGGCCCCATATGCATGCCCTTCGTGTCCCCGCTGTTGCCCTTCGTGGCCTATTTCGTGTCCTTCGTGACCACCTCGCTGCCCTTCGTGGCCCCATATATGTATGCCCGTCGTGGCCCCCGCTCGTTCGCGCCCGTGGTGGCCGTATATGCATGCCCTTCGTGGCCCCGCTGTCGCCCTTCGTGGCCCCCTCGCTGCCCTTCGTGGCCCCGTTGCTGCCCTCAGTGGCCCCGTCCTTACCCTCCGCGGCCCAATATACGTATGCTCTTCGTCGCCCCCGCTCGTTCGCGCCCGTCGTGGCCCCATGTGCATGCCCTTCGTGGCCCTGCTGTCGCCCTTCGTGGTCCCCTGGCTGCCCTTCGTGGCCTGGTTGCTACCCTCAGTGGCCCCATCGTTGCCTTCTGTGGCCCCGCGTTATCTGCCCTTCGTGGCCCCGGCTCGTTCGCGCTCTTCGTGGCCCCATACGCGTTCCCTTCGTGCCCCCGCTGTCGGCTTTCGTGGCCTACTTCGTGCCCTTCGTGGCTCTGCTGTCGTTCTCTCTCTCGCTCTCGCTTTCGCTCGTCGTCGTCGTCGTCGTGGTCGGTCCCCTGTCCGTCCCTCTTGGGGTCAGGTTGCCGCCGATCAGCGCTGCCGCTGGCCAGGCCGACGGGCTGCGGCCGCCCCGCCGCTTGCCGGGGCCCGGCCTCCAGGGAAGGAAGGTATACCCCCCAAACGGGGTACGATCGAAGACGAAGAGGGCGGGTATCGAGGGTTTGGGAAATACGCGTTAACGGACAATCGAGCAGATCAGGGTGAACAGTCTTAAACTGATTGTGGTTGCTGTTGTTGTTGTCGTTGTTGTTGTTATTGTTGTTGTTGTTGTTGCTGTTGCTGTTGTCGTTGCTGCTGTTGTTGTTGCTGTTGCTGCTGTTGCTGTTGTCGTCGTTGTTGTTGTTGTTGTTGTTGTTGTTGTTGTTGTTGTTGTTGTTGTTGTTGTTGTTGTTGTTGTTGTTATTGTTGAACATTATTAGTTCTAAAGAATAATTATTGTTGGGGCCCCTGGTGCACGACCCCCCCGCCGCGCCTAGGCCGCAGCCACATTTTCATCATTTTCGTAAGGAAGTCTCAGGCAAAACGGGTTGGTCCGGATCCGGTTGTTTTGTTACGGCCCGCTTTCCCTTGCAAAAAATAAGCTAAAGTGGACATTTCTTGTTCTAACATAACCAAACTTCAAGAATCCCTTGCAAAAAATAAGGTAAAGTGGACATTCGCGCGCGCAAGACGAAATCCTTCCAAAACCTTAGTTTTCGTAGCGATTTTAACATTAAAACATCAAACAACCAATGTTTTTTTTTTTTTTGTTTTTTTTTTTTTTTGTCAAAATTTCATCCCGCGCGCTCTTGCGGATTCGTAGGAAACCCAACACTTTTTAAACATTTCTGTCGAACGGGCTTTTGCGAGCAACTTTTTCGAACTTCTGCAACAACGGTTGCGCACCTGCCAGGGCCATCATCCCTGTCAAATAATACCATGCGGGACACATTCGTTTTTTCTTCGCGCGCGCACGCCGTCGTCGTCGGCCGCGGGGCCCTGAATAGTAGCCACGGTCGTCCGCATGCCACGAAGTGAAGTGTCCGAACGTCATAGGGCGGGAAGCTGGGTGTGGGTGGTGGCGAAGAGTCGTTTGGAAATTTGGTAGAGCTTGAACCGGCCCCCCCACAAAGTGGGGGTATTGCCCGCCTCCTATGAAAACCCTGGCACTGGTGAGAACGGAGTGTCCCCACGTGCTAGTAATTGTTGTTGTTGTTGTTGTTGTTGTTGTTGCTGTTATTGTTGTTGTTGTTGTTGTTGTTGTTGTTGTTGTTGTTGTTGTTGTTGTTGTTGTTGTTTTTGAACTCTCATTTCTGAAAAATA